GCCAAAGCCAACAAGTTTCGACCATGACGGGTCCTAAGCCCGGATGAAGACCAGTCATATTCGAAACATGTTGGCTTTGGCCATCTAATTATAGGTCCTTCTATATGTTTAATACCATACCGTGGAACTTTCTTGGCAAAGGAACTGCAAGCAAAGCACTAAACACTTACGAATCTCATGTAAAAGAAGTTGTACATTTTGTTCTGAATGTTAAGAGAATTTTCGAGAGGAAATGTCTTCTGCTTTTGAGAGACACGTGATACAACTGCGGAGGTTGGACTGTGACAAGTTTAATCTTTATGTTCCATTCCAGACCTTTCTGAATCCAAACATGATGTAGGAGGACTGGATGGTCAGTCAATGAAGCTGTAGTACACTGATATTACAATACACAGTCCACAGCTCAACATTGCTAATCCAACTTTTACTCTTCTCTCTATGATCTGTGAGTGATGCATGCTGGGAAACTAGAGCCCCTGCCTGATCCGTTTAATACTTAATTCACACAGATTGAGTTGCCCTTAAATAATGCCCGCGTCGCATTTCATGCAGAGGAAAGTGACGTATCGCATTTCTCTCCCAAATAAAACCATCAGCTCCATTCAGTGACTAAAGCAGTTCACCCAGGAGCAGGCTAATCTAATCAGGGCTAATATACCACTGCTGCTCCAAGTCCACAGTCACCTCAAATAAACCAAAGACCAGACTGGAGGCTTTTGTGTACAAGAGCTGTCACTGATGGGTTAGTCTTTGCTGTACTGACCTCTAGTGGTTCAAATATGTATTACCTACCTGCTTTGTTAAATTTTTCTCAGTTTAAATATTTCCCATGATAAGAAACAATTCAATGATATGTAGATATATCTATAATTAGTAAATTCCAGTTTGAAGAAGCTTTGTGTATTATAATGTAACAAGATATGATGAAAAGTGTTTAAAAATTATATATTTTACACACTTCACACACTTCAATTTCTTAAACTCAATATCTCAATAGCATGACATTAACAAATCAGATGATCTACTGCAACTACTGAAGACACACTAAGATTCGGTTCTGGGTTGAAAAAAGTTAACCAAATACTAAAACCACTATCAAAACTAGATACTCATTTGAAGTATCTTTTTTTGACATTTCCTGAATGGTTTTAGACCACACCGGAAAACTAAAGAAGCTATACCATTTGGAATTGAAAATTACATTTTACTGTAGAGCAAAAGGTTGGCATTTACAGTTGAGCTTTTCCTTTAATATTAAAAATCTATTTTTACTGTGGCAGGATCAGGTACACTTCTTTTGACCTATTTTATCTGGGTTACAATTTACTCAACAATAGGGTTTGTCACCACTAGATGTTGCCAAAAACTCCCCCTACCTATTAACACTGATTACATCCTTGAAAGACCAAACCCACGCGAATCCCATTTGAAACCTTAAACATCTTTGTATCCATCTTTTGTCCCCTCTCCTAATTGTCCCTTGTCCTTTCGTCTCAATTGGTGGACACCTCTTGACTCTCCCCGGTTCCTTCTCCTTTTGGGCCAATCTTTATTTAGAAATAAGGCCAACCATGGACAGAAACAGAACTGGGTCTCACAGATCCCTGGATGCGCGGGCACACCGGAAAATAAAGGAGGTCCTTAGAATGTCTCTCCTGGTATTGAGGTTTTCTCTTCATTCAAACTCATTTACAATGGGCAATTTACAGCAACCAGTTTACCAAAAGCAGGTGTTTGCTTTGTGGGAGAAAGTCTGTTTTTTAAAGTGCAAAAAATATAGATATATATTTAGATAAGCACAATGCAATCCTTATTTTAGATAAATAAATTGTACAATTCTAATAATTTTTAATTTTAGCTTTTTTCCTATATGCAACATTATAGTAAACATATTTGTGTTTACTATAATGTTTCTGTAGAAAATAGCTTTACATAAGTAACTATTGTTCTAATGACGCAAAGAAAACAATGTTGTCACGATACAAAAATTTCAAACTCAGTTTCAATACTAAGGAATAGACTCGATAGTCAATAATGAGTCCAATACCACGATGATTAAAAAAAAAAATACAATGCCATTTTCAACATTAAATCATAGTACTTTTTTTATATTACCATGTGGCCTGATCTATCTGTAATCCCCCAACAGAGGGGACCCATATTATGGACATATACTAGTCTATGTGACTCTGATACAGCTCAAGATTATTCAAGGTATTCAGGAAAGGTTAATTTCTGTCCTGTAAATTTTTAGTATTGATACTTAAATGGTGCTCAAATGTTCAAATGAGTATCTAGTTTTGTTTCTAGTTTTTCGTACTGATTAGTATTTTCAATACTTTACACAACCCTAAAAGCAAGGGCCTAAACATTTATAGAAAATATATCTAGTTAACATTTTTCTGACAAGTACTGCAATTATTAGATTTGTAATCTATATTTACAACAAGGAGCTGAATTCACAGGGCTAATGGGTTCTCAAGAATTCCCTACCCCATAGCAACCTGACTTTTATTCTCTGCATAGGAAATATTACTTAAAATTGCAGATATATTTTTTATTTGAGCCAATCCAAATTGTGATTTCATAGTTATTCAAATTGATCTTGCAACCATATTTATAGCTAAATTTGAACCTGTGTTACAGAAACAGAAACTAGAAGTGAAGTCCTTAGAAAATATGTAAGCTTACATATGTTTACATAAGTTTACATCAACCTGCCTGCAACATATTGGCACATATTACCACTAAAGAGTATGTGGTCACTTGAAGTTCCTTCCTTATAAACAACATAGCATTTCTAGGTCCATGAAAAACCACACATGCTCTGATTTGAATGACGCCTCCTAAACAAAGCCCAGAATTTAAATATGAACTTGACACTTCAGACTTGAGAGCGGCGTCCTGCAGGGAACAACTCGATTTAGACGAATGACCTCAAACTTACCACACACTCAACCCACTTGCCTGTCCTATCACCACCCTATAAAAACATTCCAAATTATAATATTATTTTGAGTGATATGCCACAGTGGGTTAATTGTCCACCTACATACCACAGGGTAAGCAGTTTAAATCTAACTAAAGAGCATATTGCCATTGTGTTTCTTTCTTCAAGACGCATATTCATGCATATGGAACATTACTGCTATACTAATAATTGTAAGCTATTTTGGGTAAAAAATAAATGATGTTGATTCAAAAAGGAAACCATATGTTCTCACCAGCACTATTTTAGGATAAGGATATTAATAACAATGCAACTACACATAGTGCTCTTAAGCGACAATTCTGATTACCATTTTATTCCGCAAAAGAAAGAAAAATCAGGGTTTCTCAAGTACCAGACTATTATTGCATGTGGGAAATGTAATAAAATTAACTGGCAATGTACAGTAGCCTCTAACAATTGCACTTTTATTTGTGTATTTTCACTTGGTTTTACAATTTTCTTTATAATTACATATAAAATTGCATTTGTTTGCATTACAATCAACACATACTTTTTATACAATGCACTTTCAAGCCACTAAAAGGCAGCTATTTGGTATTTGAGCAAAAGGTTCATTTACTATTATTATATTCTTTTAAAAGTCATAGTATGCAACTTGTTAGACTAAGATAAAAAGCTTCCTACTTTTCATAGAAATGTTGTCCCTAAAGCTATAATCTTCCACAGTATAGCATCAAACCTGCCTTTCTTCATGGAGAATGTTCGTAAGTATAGTTTTTATTTCTGTGGAGTCATGCAGGTGCCATGCCACCTCAAGAAAGTTACAAACCTTTAAGTAAGGATCATTATTATGTCCCCATATTGTTGAAAACTTACTGACTTTATCACAAACTGCATCAGAGGGATTGAGACCTGTGCTGACCTCAGTGACGTTTATGGGATCGGCACTACGTCACATGACCTCACAAAGGGGCAGGGCCTGAGTCTGTGAAACCCAATAATACCGGGGTTCATTTCACTGCGTAACATCAGATAGAGTTTATCAGTGACGCAATAGGATCAGAGCACAGCGCGCTGATAAGGACCAACAATAAACCACTGAATGGGCTCAATTAAAATACTTGACCGTCTAAAGTTGAAGAATACAATCACAAAAAAAAAAAAATGTCTCAATTGTTTTTATTTTGGTTTGTACAATTCCTATATTCCAGTCAAGTTTAACTGAGCAGATTTTATCAAGAAGGAATGACTTAATATTTGTACTCAACGAAAAAGACATTTGGTTGTTCTCATCAAAGTGGTAAGTGTCAATTCTGAGGCCACAGATTTTCACAGAATACTTCTCTGAACTTGCTATATTGTCCAAATTTTGGACAAACTTGCAATATCTTTGAAGCAATTATTATGAGAAGTCTGGGTTTGTAGGGTCAAACTTAAGTCTTCAACCAAATCCTTGCCTGACCAGTTAGTCCCTTCTACATTCTGTGTCCAGTGACTGGAATTGGACTCAAATGCAGAAACTTCTTGTATCATTTAGAACAAAATATACAACTTTTTATCTTAGATAAAAACTTGTTTCACTCTTCTCTATGTTTTTGGGGGTTTTTTTTTCTCTCTTTAACTGCCATGTTTGTTTTTACCTGAATGGAGCATGCGTCTCTGATTGGTTAACCTGCCTGTCAATCACACCCTCTGGAATCAGGGAGAAAAGATACGGTGCCAAACCCACGCATCTTTGTAAAGTTTGGTCAAAGCACATGGTTCGGGCTAGCCAGATAACCAAAATAAAGTACTTTTATGGCCATATCTTGCCCCACAGTCTCAGCGCAGGCGCAAGTGTGGGGCGTGGAGTTCTAAACAGGAGGTGTGCCGTGACTGAATATCAGGTGGAGTGGAGAGACTGAGGGCGTGGTGTGGTACGTTCAGTGAATTGCCAGAAACGTAAAAATAAATATCAAACGAGTTCACCAAAAAACTATATGCAATATGCTCAAAGCTTCTTTTATTTGATAATATATTAGGATGATAAATGCTTAACATTCATAACATGTCCGTGTGCTGTGTGGGAGCCCTCCGGATGCCCTCCCGCAGTAGAGTACAGCCCCTCGCCCGCTCCCTGTATCGGCTCAACTCTGCTCTATAGTTTGGTTTGATTTGAATCTCTACAAAAGCTGCTCATTCAAATGAGGCCGGTAACAGTGCTGTCCTAAAGTGTGTTTCTTACTCTGTCTGTGTCCTAACTCTGCGCGCGCGGACTGAGCCCGGGTCTGTGACAGCGGAGCAGACGCACGTATCATATCTGTGCGTAACATCAGAAACATTTATATGACAATAAACGTATTCCATAATCCACGAGACATCCACCTGTGTGGGGTCAAATGCAGTGGAACCGAGAGATGAGAATGTGAGCGGTCAGCGGGAGCGGCGGTGGACACCTGTACCTCAGGTGAGTCCGTGGGAGCGGACTGCCGGGGCAGACGGGAGCGGAAGGGAGCGGAAGGGAGAAATCAGCGGGTCAGCAGTGGGATGGGGATCGCATGAGATAAACACTGGTCTTAAACGAACGCAGAGAAATCTATAAAAGGTTGGTGTGCGCGTGCATGAGAAGGGCGTACGTGCGCACGGAGCGTTCGGAACACAAACCCAGTCAGTTCTGTCATGGCCCACACAAAATTCTATATTCCTGATGCCTGTGCTGTGTACTTGCATCGCGGGGCTCCGGAGCTGTTTTATTGTCACATCTATAACTTTTCCCCACACTCCTCTTTACCGCCTGATAATGAGGCAAAGATTGCAGACTTCACCCACACGGGCAGAGCTTTTAAATGCCACAGCGGTCACAGATTGGTTCAGATGCCGTCACCATATATGTACTTGTACCGTCCCACTCCAGCCTCCAGCAGCGAAGTACAGCCCCACCTGGACACGCCCACTTGCTAAGTCTGGGAGCAAGATACGGCCCTTAATGTTTATTTGTGCGTTCTGGATCTTGGATTTGAGGTTAGGATGATTCAAAATGGGGTCAAAGTTGATCTATACAAAATACAACAGTATAATATATGCTATCCTGCTGTAGTGACACATTTCTCATTCTTATCAAAAAACAAAGTTATTTAACTGACCTACTACATGGCTATAACAACTTGGGGGCACTGAAGGCAACATGGAAAACAGTAACAGGTTGGTGGTATATTGTGGTACATATCAGAGTTATATAGCTACATTTAGAGAATTCTCAGAAATGCTTTGCTCTTATGTGAGCTGTAGCAGTATTGACCAGTTAAATCGGTGCTTAAAAATGTTGCTATTGATGTGTATCCAAATGTTTCTACATTTATTTTGAACTATATTAATATTTTGTTTTTGTTCTGTTGATGTGCACTACAGCAGATCTATTGTAAAATAAAACTATGTTCATAAAACTGACAGCTAATCAACTCAACGCTCAAGTAAATATAGACCATAAAGGATAATATTTTAACAAATATATGCCATTGACACAATACTCACAAAAATGTTCCAAAATTCTATTCTAAATGTACAATACACTTAAAAACAGTAGTAGTACTATTTAGTATTTAGTGAATATCAAAAAACATTTCCTGTTAGTGCAAACACATGATAAATATTGACCTAAAAATATATAGTTCAATCTATCATATATAGATTGATAAATCAATATAGTAATTATCATGACAGGCCCAAGTTTTGCATATGTTCAAAACAACTATATTTTGCTATTATCTAGTAGACAATATATCTCCAGACTATTTAGCCAGTAGCCACTTGGTGGTCATGTCTTATCTGAAATACATTATATGACCTTTGCTACTGTGACAGTGTAGGGCGGTTTGAGTGAGAGAGTCCAGGCCCTTCACGAACTCCTGTGTAATCTGGTTACACAGGGAGGCACCAGCAGCACATCATTTAGCATGCTCATTAGCGACATTGTGGCTTTCTCATAATTAGCCATTAGCGCAATCAATCACACACAACGCAAGCGGAGATGCAGAAAGAGGTCAAACAGTAGTGAATGTACTCCAGGAAGTGACACAGGGCACTATTTTCAGGTTAAGCTATTAATAAATGAACAAACACATTAGGATCAATAGATATACTGTAAAATGTCTATCACCAATGTTAGAGCAATGGCAACACTTTATAGCATGGTTTTTGTTTACAAAGTGATGTGAAGCCAGGTGACTCAGTTGGTCAATATATGCAAAGTACACTCAGATTTTCATGCGTAGACAGTAACCAATTACAAATACTCACAATACTGTACGAGTAAATTTTGGGGGTATTTTTGAGTAGATTTTTAAACCTGTACTTGTATATGAACATAACTGTGTAATTGGAAATAGCTTAATTTAAAAAAAAAAAAAGCACAGTCTCACCACCTTTCTAAACCTGCAAACACCCATAACAGGACTGCATCGACTGCTCTGCTCATAATATGCAGATTGTGATTTAAAACAACTTATTTCAGCTTTAAACAGTTTAATTAGTTTAGTTTTGTAAATATAAATGTAGCAGCTGTACTATAGAGTACA